TGATATCTTTGCTGACTTTTTGACTTTTGAAAGAATACCAGAAAGATGTTTGCCTGTGCTTTATTGACTATGCAAAAGCTTTCTACTGTGTGGATCATAACAAGCTATGGACAACATTGTGAAGAAGGAGTAGTCCAGAAACTTAATTGTACTCATGAGGAAGCTGTGCATAGACCAAGAGGCAGTTGTTCGAAAAGAACAGGGAGACACTGAATAGTTTAAAATCAGGAAAGGTGTGTGCATTCAGAGTCATGTTCTTTCACCTTACCTATTCACTCTTCATGCTGAGCAAATAATCCAAGCAGCTGGCTTATATGAAGAAGAACATGGCATCAGGATTGGGAAAAGACTCATTAACAAACTACGATATGCCAATGATAGAACCTTGCTTGCTGAAAGCAAGGAGGAGGTAAATACTTACTGGTGAAGATCAAAAACTACAGCCTTCACTATATGGATTGTACCTCAATGTAAAGAAAACAAATCCATACCACTGGACCAATAAATAACATGTTAAATGAAGAAAAATTTGAAGTTGTCAAATGCTTGGATTCACTATCCACACTAATGGAAGCTGCAATCAAGAAATCAAACAACATATAGGCAAATCTGCTGCACAAGACCTCTTTAAAAATGTTCAAGAGCAAAGATGCCAGTTTGAGGACAAAAGTGTTCCTGACCCAAGTCATAGTATTTTTAATAACCGTATATGCATTTGCAAGTTGGACAATGAATAAGGAAGATCGTCAAAGAATTGATGCATTTGAATTATGGTGTTGGAAAAGAATATTAAAAGTACCATGGACTGCCAGAACAATGAACAAATCTGTGTTGGTTGGAAGAAGTACAGCCAAAATACTCCTTAGAAGCCAGGATGGCCAGACTCTGTTTCTCATATTTCAGACATATTATCAGGAGGGACCAGTCCCTGGAGAAGGACAACATGCTTGGTAAAATAGAGGGTCAGTGAAACAGAGAAAGACCCCCAATGAGGTGAAGTGATGCAGTAGAAGGAGCTGTGCACTCACGTGTATGGATGGCATGGGACTGGTCTATGTTTGTTCTGTTGTGTATGCGGTTGTTATGAGTTGGAATTGACTCACCATCACATAAGAACAAACATATCAACAACCCTCTATCCATAAATAATTTTCCGTTCCCTCCCACCTCTGATAACCATCATTGGATGTTTCTTTTATTAAGAAAACCTTTTCTTAACTTTTTACGACAGTGGTCCTTTCGTGATAGACTAATTTCACGCAATGTAATGTCCTACAGTTCATCCACATTATGAGGTGTTTTGCAGATTTATCATTATTCTTCAATGCTGCATAGTATTTCTTTGTGTATATGTACTAAAGTTTGTTTAGCCATTATCCTGTTGATGGGCATTTAAGCTGTCTTCATCTTTTTGATGTGTCTCTTGTAGACAGCATATGGAAGGATCTTGGTTTCTTTTCCATTGTGCTACTCTCTTTTGACTGGTGCATTGGATCCATTTACATTCAGTATAAGTATCGATAGGTATGAATTGATTGTTGTCTTTTGCTGTGTGTGTGTTGTTTTGTGTGTGGTGCTACTGGTTTCTTTGTTCCACATAATTATCTATGCTGAGTTCATGTAATTTATGTGTTTTCTTTTCATTTTCATGTTTACTAAATCATTCTGATTTTCTTCTTTTTCAATTTTTATGTGAAGATGTATTCATTTTCTTTGAGGCTACACTGCAATTAGTTAATTTTTTTCCCTGTTTAAAAGTTTGTTTTATCTTGAAATCTACTTGACTTTCTCACATTTGGAAGTTTTGTATCTATACTGTTCCCTCTTTCTGATTTGTTGTTGTTAAGTGTCTTCGACTTGATACCCTCTCATAGCAATCCTGTATGGGGTTTCCAAGGAGTGGCAGGTGAGTTTGAATCACTGACCTTGTAGTTCAAACCGATCTGGTAGTCCAGTGCTTATCTTACAGCACCACATCAGGACTCTTTTTGCTTTGTAGTTGACTTCATTATATATAGATACATCTGGTTCCCTATTTTTCATCTCGTAGCCGGTTCTGACTCATAGTGAGGAGCTGCTGGTGGGTTTGAACCTCTGACCTTGCAGTTAGTGGTTCAGTACTTATCCTAGAGTGCCATACCAGAACTCCTGCTTGTAAGTTGGGCTGCTAACCTTAAGGTCAGCAGTTCAAAACTACTGGTCGTTCTGCGGGAGAAAGATGAGGCTATCGGCTCCCATAAAGATTTATAGCCTTGGAAACCCTTTGTTGCAGTGTTGCTATGAGTTGGAACTGACTCCACGGCACACCGCCACCACCACCACCATACCTGGATTGGACTCCTGGTGTGGAGCTGTAGGATCAACACTGGACTGCAAACTAAAGGTCAGTGGTTCAAACCCATCAGCTGCTCCTTGGAAACCCTGTACAGGGTCACTGTGAGTCAGAATGGCCTTGATGGCACTTAACAACAACAACATGTCCTGGGGGCTGGACGTTCCCCACCCCTACTCTTGGAGAAGATCCTCTTTGTTTCCTTCAGTTTCTAGTTGTTGTTGTGTGCCGTGGAGTCGGAACCCACTCACAGCGACCCTGTACAGGGTTTCCGAGGCTGTAAATCTTTGCGGGAGCAGAACGCCTCATCTTTCTCCCGCGGAACCACTGGTAGTTTCGAACTGCTGACCTTGCGGTTCACAGCCCGATTCGTAACCACTACGCTACCTAGTAGCTGTCAGCAATCCCTGATGTTCCTTGGCTTGTAGCTTGTTCTCTCCTGGTCTCTTCCCCCTGTGTGTGGCAATCCATTAACTGTCAATTCATTTATATTTGTGTTTGAATGTTTTGGGCATCTGCAACAGATGAGATTTACAGACGGTACTTTAGAATACTTAAAGCTGTACATGAATACCTGACCCAAGGAGCCAACCTTTCTCATAATTTTATCTTCAAGTATCCTTGATTCCCCTCTTCCTTTCAGCCCCTGCATGCTGGAGAGAACCTTGTCTCTGAAATTTCTATTGACTCCATTAGTTTAGAGGAAGTAATTCCATGATTGAAATGTTGTGATACATTGCTTAAAAGTATAAAAGGAAGCAGTAATTACATCAGGTCAGTTTTACTTGACCAGTTAAGAATGAAAAAAAAGTCTTGAATTAGATTTATTCCTTAATAATTCCAGAATTATTCCATTCTGGGAATTAGAATTGGTTAGAATTTGGATTAAAGTTTCACTTTGTTCTTCTTCACTTAGGGGGTCTTGGCCAGCTTGGAGTGGGGCTTGCTAACTTTTTGAGGTAAGAGCTCTAAAACTCTAAATTTAAAAAATAAGTTATTTTAAGTATGTGACACTTATCTTTGGCCTCTTTAACTATACCGTCTCCCCCTCCTTGTCCCTTACTATTTTTAAAATGTCATATCTAAGCAAATTTTAAAACTATAATATAACATTTGCCTTCTAATGTTAAAGAGTCCTGGTGTGGCACTGTAGTATAAGCACTGGACTGCTAACCATAAGGTCACAGGTTCAAACCCACCACCCACTCATTGGTGCAACCTTATAAAAGGTTGTTCTGAGTCAGAACCGACTGGATGGCATTTAACAACTACAACAACATCAAAGACATGCCGTAGACCCTTGATTTGATATCTTCCCACCTTGCTGCTCTCTCTTTTCTAATTCAGACAAAGTATCAAAATGAATTGTGTAGCTTTAGTTTGGGGGCAGAGGGGAATGCATGTAGACATTGGAAGTGAACAGTATGAGATTTGGAGAGTGTTTGATGAAAGGGGCAAAGGGTAAGAGAAGAAAAGACAAAAATAAGAAAGGAGAGGTAAAAACTCAAGCAAGGAGTAATTTGAAGAAATTGGTAACTGGTACAGGGATAACTGGGGTAAAAGCAGAAATGGAAAAACGGGCCATAGACAGAGAGAATGGCTTGAGTGTGGCAAGAACTAATGGTGTGTGTACTAGGGAAGATCAGGAAAGTGGGAGGAGAGATATGAAAAGGAGGGATTTAGATACTGACAGGAAATTACCACACCCATTCCTCAGTTATCAACGTGGTTAGGTTCCAAAGACCTGGTTGTGATGGGGAGTGTAGGTGTAGCTCCTATTTAAGTGATGATTTTCATATGACCAGTTATGTCATAGATGTTGCCAACTGGTGTGCTTGATTCTCCCTTTAGGAAGCGATTTGGAAAGGACAATGTGATCTTGTCTGACATAAGGAAACCACCCGACCACATCTTCCATAGTGGTAAGAGATCAAAATGTGTTACTTTTAGTGTTACTTTGACTTTTCAAAATGTACTTAGAGAGGCTGCTTGTGGCATCAGTGTGTGTAACAGTGTGTATAACCAGGTTTGTAAGTTAAAGAGAGAAATGACTTGGTACAACCATGTCATTTAGTTTTGCCCCTTTTTGTTCTGTAAAAGCTCTATAGTAATACTGCTGCATCTTTAAATGACTCAAGAACAAGCGAGTTCTCTTGAAGTCAAGTTTTGGAATAATATACAAAAATTTGATTCTTGTGTTTTTGAGTTTTTAGTTAACTAGTTGACTTGGAGAGAAAATAAGCAAAAATCAATTGCTTCTGTAGTAAGGAAACCCACCCACCCACTGCCATTGAGTTGATTTCACTCATAGTGACCCTGTATAGGATTTCTGAGACTGTAAATCTTTATGGGAGTAGACAGCCTCATCTTTCTCCTGCAGATCAGCTGGTGGATTTGAACTGCCGACCTTGCAGTTAGCAGTCCAGTGCTTATCCTATATTACCACCAGTAACAAGGAAAAGGTTCTTTAAGCATTTGGAGATACTTGCGCTTTCTTTTTCAATGTAGAAGAAACTGATCTTACAAATGGTTAAACACTCAGCTAACTGTCTGAAATGTTAACAGTTTCAAACTCACCCAACTGTTCTATGGAAGAAACACCTGGCTATCTGCTCCCATAAAGTTAACAGCCCAGAAAACCCTATGGGGCAGTTCTAGTCTGTCATGTGGAGTCACTATGAGTCAGAATCGACTCATCTGCACCCAATAACAGCACTATTACCTATAAGGTGACTCTGCTGTGCTATCTCCTATAAGGAAAAATGCTGCCAAGTATCTAAGTAGTTATAGATATCAAACTGGTATTAGTGGAATCTGCAAGTCAAAGAGAGGGAAAGAAAGGTCCATTTAGCTTTTTAAATGACAACTTTTTTCACTTTTGTGGTTCTACGAATCGGGCTGAGAATCTTAAGGCCAGCAGTTCGAAACTACCAGCCGCTCCACGGGAGAAAGATGAGGTGTTCTGCTCTCGTAAAGATTTACAGCCTGGGAAACCCTGTACAGGGTCGCTATGGGTCGGAACCGACTCGACGGCACTTAACAACAACAACAACAATTTTGTACCCCATGTAGGTCCATTCATTTATTCCGATATTTTGGATTACAAGAATCTTCGAGAGATAGTGGTAAACAACCGCATCACCTGGTTGTTTCATTATAGTGCTTTGCTCAGTGCAGTCGGAGAAGCAAACGTATCTTTGGCGAGATCTGTAAATATAACTGGTAAGTGCCTGGATCTTGTCCAATATGATCTGTTAGCCAACTTTTCCAGTTTATTTGTAAGAAGATATTTTTAGGTTATGACAATGTCTTTTCATTTCAGGACTGCATAACATTCTGGATGTTGCAACAGAACACAATTTGCGATTGTTTGTGCCTAGCACGATTGGAGCCTTTGGACCTACTTCTCCCCGGAACCCAACCCCTGATATCTGTATTCAGAGACCCAGGACTATCTATGGGGTATCCAAGGTCCATGCAGAGCTCATGGGAGAAGTAAGCATTGCTTGACAAGTCTGGTTAAATGGAGCCAGGGCAAAATGATTCTGTGTTTTCTTTTTGCATTCTTGTTATCTCCACAACTGCTATGTCATTCTTAGGGGTACTTTCCCCTTCCCCCAACCCGAGCTCTCAGAATTACTCACTGAACACATTGTGCTTGCCAAGGGTCAGGTACCTGTAGCTCCTGAAGAACTCTGCAGCCTTTTCACAATCAGCGAATGATACTCAGAGCGTTTTGTAGTCAGGTGCCTCTCAGTTGGTACCTCCCCTTACTTCACTTGCTGTCAGTGTTCTTTGTACTGCTCCTTCCTTTCAGGCCCTAAGCTCAAAATATTGGTGGTAGTTATTGATGGTTAAGGAGTCCTGATAGTGGAGTGGATTATGAACTGGGCTGCTAACTGCAAGGTCAGCAGTTCGAATCTACCAGCTGCTCCATGGGAGAGAGATGAGACTTCCTGCTCCTGTAAAGATTTACAGCCTCAGAAACCCTATACAGAGTCGCTATGAGTCAGAATTGAATTGGAGGCACACAGCCACCACCACCATTGATAGTAAAGGTCCCTGGGTGGTGCAAAGTGTGCTTGACAGCTAACGTAAAGGTTGGCATTTTGAATCCACCCAGTGGAAAAGTCTGGCAATCTGTAATGATTACAGATAAAGAAACCCTATGGGCCCTCTGTAATACATGAAGTTTTAAAAAAACTTTTGTTACAGAAAACTTCAAACATCTTTTGAGTTTTATTTTATTTTTTACTACTCTCTGTCCTTACAACTCTGTTGTGATACTCAGTGAGTATTTGACCTTTCCAATGATATTTCATAGATGTTGTTCTCCCTTCTCCCACGGTCACCCTCTCTACACTTTCTAATGCAGCATTGCAGTAGCATGCTTGTGACTATTTTAGGAAATGAGTATTGCATCCTTTCCAAATCATTCCTGTGGGTTGATTCAATAGTATTTATAGTGTTGAAGGAAAGAAAATGTATCACCAGAACAGTGTTTCTTTGAAGAGAAAAACCATGTTGTTGTAGTCAGGTGCCGTCCATTCAGTTGACTCTAACAATCCTATGCACAACAGGAATCAAATTGACTATTTGATTGAAGAAATGATGGAGAATCTCAGTATCATCAGCTAAAACAAGGCCAGTGACTAATTGTAGAACAGACCATTAATTGTTCATATACAAGTTCAGGCTGAACCTGAAAAACAAAAAAAATTAACACAAATCCATGAGAGTCAAAATAATTATTGTGACTAGGTGCCATCAAGTCAGTTCCAACTCATTGTGACCCTGTGCACAAAAGAATGAAACATTGTCTGGTCCTGTGTCATCCTCACAATCTTAGTTAAACCTGAACCCATTGCTGCTGCCACTGTGCCAGTCCATTTTGTTTGGGGGGGTCTTCCTCTTTTACACTAACCCTCCACTTTATCATGCATGATGTCCTTCTCCAGGGACTAGTCCCTCCGGATAATGTGTCCAAAGTATGAGAGATGAGGTCTGGCCATCATTCTGGTTGTGCTTCTTCTAATACAGATTTGTTTGTTTTTTGGCAGTCCATGGTACTTTTAATATTCCTCTCCAACACCATGACTCAAATGCATCAGTTCTTCTATGGTTTTCTTTATTCATTGTCCAATTTTCACATTCATATGAGGCTTGGGTCAGGCAGACTTTAGTCCTGAAACTGATATCTTTGCTACTGAACTCTTTAAAGACATCTTGTACAGTAGATTTGCCTAATGTAGTATGTCATTTAATTTCTTGACTGCTGTTTCCATGAGTGTTGATAGTGGAGCCAAGCAAAATGAAGTCTTTGACAACTTCAGTCTTTTCTCCATTTATTGTTTGTTTGTCCAGTGGTCAGTATTTTCATATTGTTTACATTGATCTGAAACCCAGATTCAAGACTGTGGTCTTTGATCTTCATCAGTATTTTATGTCCTCTTTGCTTTCAGCAAGCAAGGTTTTATCATCTGCATATTGCACATTGTTGTGATAATAAACCTAAGAATTATTTATTAAAAATTAATATCTCTTAGAAATTCTAAAATCATCATTTTCTTTAGGAGTATTTTAATATAACTTCAAGGAATGATATTTCATAGAAAGGCTGTTTCGTTCCATTGCTCTATCTGACTAGAAAGATTAGTTTGTAACAAATAAGTTTGGTTGTTTTTTTTTCATAGTACTATTGTTATCGATATGGATTAGATTTTCGATGCCTGCGATATCCTGGAATTATTTCACCGGACTCCCAACTTGGAGGAGGAACAACTGGTAAACATTCTTTATTGTTTCTGTGAGTCGGAATCGAATCAATGACAGTGGGTGTGGCAGTGAGTTCTGTATATGTGACAAAATAGGCTTTTTCATTGCCAGGCAGTTTTCCTCATGGTGAATAAATCTGCTCTCTTTTAGCCATGTTTGACTTCCAGTTCTCTCTATGACCTGCATCTGTGATGCTTATTGAACTGTATTGACTTAAATTTGTTAAGGGAAACTACTGTCTGAGTTTGCAGATCCAGCGTGAGATTAACCAACCACAATGTTCAAATCACATGTGTAATATTTGAGAACAAATTTATTGCTCACAGTGTAGGAAGACCCCAAACATAAAGCAGCTTCTTTTTTTTGAATACAGCCTTTGTTTTTTATTCATAAGGTGTTTTTTCTTTTACGTTTTATTGTGAGTTATGTGATCGTTTACATGGGAGAACATTAGTTTTACATTCATCCTATCGTATATCGTTTCATTGGTATGGTTACAATCCCCTCCATGCGTCATCAACCAGCCAAAGGGTATACACTTCAAGCCTGCCCCCCCGGTCGTCAGCACACAGCCCCTTTCCCTCTCTGGGTCTGAAGTCCCCAGCTGCTCCATCTCTCCACGTCATCATCTCTGCCTTCACCTCAGGCATCACTGCTTCTCTGGGTAGGGTCCCACTCTCCGCTCTTCAAAAGACAGCCAAGCATCTTAACATTATTCCCCCCTTTTTCCCATTCCAACCATGTCTCAATCTCTGTATCCCAAAGACCTGTTGTTTCAAGGTTGTGAATACATCACTTAGCCCATGCAAACCTGCCTAATTGTTCTCCCATCTGCTTTGTTCTTCCATTCACCTCTCCCTTCTTGTATATTGCCCCCTCCCCAGCACCCAAACTATCCTGTGTCTATTCCCTGTCCTGTGTTCCACCTTGCCCTCCCTCCCATCACCCTACTCCCACATCCCAGCAACCAGCCAAGAATCCAGCCCGCTTTAGTTTGGTTTCTTTTTCTTAGTCTTTTATAGTAGTGGTCCTATGCAGTATTTCTCTTTTTGTGACTGACTAATTTCACTCAACATAATGTCCTCAA